CAGCTCTCTTTCCTGCCTATGCAGGGGGTCGGACTCGATGATCTATTGAGGTCCCTTCCAACCCTAACATCTATGAGTCTATGAACAAGGTCCCTTTTCTCTCGACTCCCTTGGATCCTAACCCACAGAGTCTCTGCTTGTCTGTCCTCTGATTCCAATTTGATTAGGGAAGATGTGCACTTTTCTTTGACATAGAGAGCAACACCCCCTCCTTTTTTCCCTTCTCTATCTCTCTTGTACAACCTATAGCCCTCTATTCTTACCACCCAGTCATGAGTAGAGTCCCATCAGGTTTCCGTTATACCCACTAGGTCAAAGTTATTGCTTGCAAGCAAGAGTTCTAGATCCTCTTGCTTGTTTCCCATGATCCTGGCATTTTTATATATATAAATTTAATATATATAAAAATATATTTTTTTATATATATTTAAATTTAATTCCCCTGGTGGCTACCCCTAGATTGCCCCTATACTCCTGTCTAATAGGTTCTTTGATGCTTACCTGGGCTGATCTTATGGGTATCTCATGATTTAGTGTTCCGTGGATCCCTTCGTCTTTGTCCTCCCCTTCCCTCGACAAAGCTAGTTTAAAGCCCACTGGAGGAGATCAGCCAACCTGAAAGAGAACACATGCTTACCTTTGGGGGAGATTTCATAGATTTCATAGACATTAGGGCTGGAAGGGACCTCGGAAGATCATCGAGTCCAGCCCCCCGCCCAAAGGGCAGGAAGTCAGCTGGGGTCATAGGATCCCAGCAAGATAAGCATCCAGTTTGCTCTTGAAGGTGTTCAATGAAGGCGCTTGAACCACCTCCGGCGGCAGGCTGTTCCAGACCTTGGGGGCTCGGACAGTAAAGAAGTTCTTCCTTATGTCCAGCCTGAAACGATCTTGAAGTAGTTTGTGACCATTCGACCTCGTCATCCCTTGGGGCGCTCTGGTGAACAAACGTTCCCCCAGATGCTGGTGGTCACCCCTGATAAACTTGTAGGTGGCCATCAGATCACCCCTGAGCCTGCGCTTTTTCAGGCTAAAGAGCCCCAGGGCTCTCAGCCTGTCATCGTAGGGTCTGCTTCCCTGACCTCTGATCATTGCTTCCCTGACCTCTGAGAGACGTAGCCCATCCCACCCAAGCATGTCTCTTGTTTGGAAGTATGGGTTGTGGCCCAAAAAGCCGAAGCCTGTCTCCTAACGCTAGCTCCAAAGCCGTAAGTTGACCTCCCTGATGCAGGTCTTGTCCCAGCCGCCTGCAGAGAGTTCAGGATTGATTGAGAGTGTGGTCGGGGGGTAGAAAGGTAAGAAAGGTTTATTGACTTAACAAAATCATGACTACGCATAGTATACTAAGACAGATAATGACAGACAATAATAATTCGCGTTGGCAACTTATCGGCAGTCCCCTCTGATGCCTGATGTACGACAAGTTTCTCTTTCTACAGAGCTCAGCAAAGTCAGGCATCCCCCAATCAGCGCTGTCTGAGAGGTACCGAGAAGGTCCCTGGTATTCAGTCCTTGGGCTCCTAGAGATCCACAGGCCCACTGATCTAGGTTAACAGCTAAGTAATCCCTTTCACAGAGCTGTATCTTCCTTCTGAATGATTTCCGTGTGTGCCAGCTAATTTATAATTTCTGAGCTGTGCTGATAAGTTACAGCCATTCATATTCTTTTTACTTTAACTGTCCTTAGACTAATCAATAGCAATACAAGCCTTGCATTCCTTTGATAAGATTAATTTTAACTACGCCACAGGACCTTACTACTTCAAGGCTTTGCTAAATTTACTAGGCCTTACTTCATACAAGGTCTTACTACATCTTAAACTTTAATTAGGCTCTTAGCAACAACATATAACTTAATATCTAAACAAATGACAGAAAAACACTTGGTCTAATCTTCATAGAGCCTTCAGCAAGCACCTTTATCACACAGACATAATTTTCAGCTGTCACGGGTCTCGTGGCGTTGTCCACGTCTGCTCACTGGGAGGATAGATGAGAAGACCACCTGTGCCCCGTCTCCTTCAGCTTGGCCCCTAGAGCCTTGTAGTCCTTCATGAGGTGATCTGGACTGCTCCCAGCCCCATCGTTAGTGCGCACATGGATTAGGACCACGGGGTAATAATCGGTGGGCTGGATAAGGTTCAGGATCATGGTCTCGTGGCGTTGTCCACGTCTGCTCACTGGGAGGATAGATGAGAAGACCACCTGTGCCCCGTCTCCTTCAGCTTGGCCCCTAGAGCCTTGTAGTCCTTCATGAGGTGATCTGGACTGCTCCCAGCCCCATCGTTAGTGCGCACATGGATTAGGACCACGGGGTAATAATCGGTGGGCTGGATAAGGTTCAGGATCATCTCTGTCACATCTTGAATCCAAGCTCCAGGCAGACAGGAGACCTCATGTGTCATGGGATCAGGGTGACAGATGGGCCCCTCTGTTCCTCAGGATGGAGTCACCTATGACAATGTAGTCCGCAGGTTTGTTATTACCCTGAAATAGAATAGTTTTCTGATAGCATACTGTTAGGTTTACAATAATTTAGATTATTAAGAAGTATTAGCTTTACAGCTGAATACAAGGCATGACCTGTGGCCTAGCAATGCCGCTGACCACAAGGCAGATTGATAGCTAAGCCTTTGCTGGTGTCAAGTAATCATTTTAACTGTATTAAGCATTTTCTGAGTTAAAACGTGGATCTGTGTCTGTGTGCTGAAAAATCAGCTACAGCAAGAAGTAAGATAAGACAGGGAAACCATTGTTCTGGGTGCAGTGGTTGTGTCCTTGAGAGGTATCTACTACTGTGTAAGGTTTTGCTAACATATTATAATGTTACCTACCATTGATACCACCTCAAATGTTTGAACCCCAAAATATTGCCCCCTGGCCGGCCACGGGACTGGGAAGTCTTCGGGAGGCATCACCTCGATTGTCTCTCTCAGAATCCCCAAGTTCCGGATCTGGAGAGGGATCTCTGGATCCCTCTCCAGATTCCAGTTCCACTCCGATTTCAAATCGCACTCGTCAAAAATTGTCTAAGCCTGCACTTCGGTTACCTCTAAGAGAATACCCTGTGCCTGGTGAGGGTGGAGAAGTTATCAGTCACTGGACACACGCTCCGTTCTCCACCACCGACCTCTTAAACTGGCAAGAAAACACCCCCAGGCTCAGAGATGATCCTAAAGTAGTTCTAAGACGCTTCAAAACCATTTTCATGACTCATAACCCCTCCTGGTCAGATGTCATGCAGCTTCTCAAAAGCCTCTTAACTTCGAACGAGAAGACTCAAGTACTACGCCATGCTGACCAATTTCTAGCCGACCAGCCCCATGAAAACCACCCCATGCCTAATGGCGTTCCCAGACAAAACCCGAATTGGAATTACAATCAGGAAAGGGGGCAAAATTCAATACGAATGCTGAAAGACAGCATTTCAGAAGGATTAAAGAAAGCAGGAGATAAAACTACAAACTGGTCCAAAGTGACAGCTACTGTTCAGGGTCCCGAAGAACACCCTTCAGACTACTTTGAAAGACTCTGTAAAGCTATACGCCAGTATAAAAACATGGCCCCCGAGACCCCTGCCACTTTACCTGTGTTAAGACTTGTGTTCATAAGTCAGGCTAGCGAAGATATTAGAAAGAAGCTTCAACATAACACTGAGGGTGTTGAGGGTAAATCCATGCCAGAAATCTTAGCCATCGCTACTAAAACTATTAATGGAAGGGAAAAAAAAAAGAAAAAAGAAAAACAAAAGGAAGATCAGTCCAACATTCGCATGTGGGCAGCAGTAATACAGCCCACAAATCCGTATAGAACCAATCTGCCCCATGGCCCGAGGCCCTTTGTGCCTAGGCCACCGGGCCGAACTCACCAACCGTATGGGCCCAACGTGTGTCATTACTGTAAACAGGAAGGACACTGGAAAAGAGAGTGCAAGTTAAGACCAAAAAGATCCCCAAGTGATAACCCTGAAAATCAAAAATTCAAAAACCCTCCGTTCACTGCTGTTGCCCCAGATCTTGCTCAA